TCTGTGAGAAAGATTGCAGGTTTGCCGTTTTTACAGGATATTTTTTTGAGAAATCTGGTTTCAACGCCAAGAGCAAAAATAACGTGGTAACGTTGCGGAAACATATTCGAAAGAAGGGGGTGATAACCCACTCATGCCCCTCTTTCGAATATGTCAGTCACTCTGTGAGGAAATATCGCAAAAGAGGGGCGAGAACGACAGACGAGAACGCAGTTGCGACTTTGCGAGCAGAGCAGCAGCTCTGCCGCCAGATCAAGACGACGCGAGGACTGCCGCGAGGAGGAGTGCGAAGGAGGCGTCGTGGCAGACGAGGACGTCACCTGGAAAGAAATGCGAAAACTAGAGCCTGCCTCGTCGTCTGGAAAGACATCGTCGACGAAGACGAATCAGGGAAATAGAAACGCGAGAAAGATCCGTGTAGCAGAAAGCTAGGTTCGCCATGAGGCGAAACCCTAGCAGAGAGGAAAGACGATATCCATATAGATATATATATATATATATATATAAACACACACACGCGCACCATTTTCCTTATGATATGTGCATAATATTTTAAAAGAGATTAGATTGAAGAACCATGCATCATACATAAACTATCGGTTGGACAAAGAATGGATAGTTTAAAAATCTAATGCCTAATTATATGAAAAATTAGCGTTAACATGTTCTTTTAAGAAAAGAAAAATGCTCAATAACTTGGTTCTTAGCCCAAAAAATGATGCACATTATTTAACTTGAAGCTAAACATTATTTGATGTGTTCATAGTCAAACCTTCGTATCAAAAACAAAAATCTTACATGGACGTAAATGGCATAATTCTTGTTGTTTAACAGGGAGAACTCATGGGCATATCCCAAACAAACAAAAAAAAAGGCATTCATCATTTTAAACTACTACAAAATGAAGGCTGAAGAACCAAAGCATAAAAAAATTTATCATCATCTAGTCATGATTCCTCCACAAAATGACAATAATGTGCCCCTATGCAAAGAAAATAAACCAAACCGTCCATAATACACCTCAATTTCTTTTGAAACTGTAACTGTCCAAGTTAAAAACATGTGAAAAATGGAACTAAAATCCTAAACCAAGCAGGTCAATCTTACAGAAATTGTTGTTGACTTTCCAAGCGACCCTATCTGATCCACCAATTCGAAATTTGAACTTCCCAAATGAGCAGGTAGGAAACCCCTCCTTCAATCTGATCCATAGTAAATCTCCTTCCTTCAAAACTTGAAATCTCCTGAACTTGTTCGCATGCTTTTGATACTTTTTTTTTTTTGCATGGTAATTTGCATGGTAATTTCCCTATTCACTTTCCCTATTCACTTGATAATGAAAACCCTAAATCTCTCTGACTTTAGCCTCGAAGTCATTGCTAAGCTTGGTCGCGCGTAGTATTTTCACTAGCTCCAATGCTGTGAGATGGTTCCACTCATATACAATCTTAAAGGGGCTGTGATTTAGGATTGGCTAGTTAATCGATAATAGGCAAACTCAACTTGAGGAAAAATCAAATCCCATGGTTTGATGTATATTCCCGCAAAGTTGAGGAGATTTCCAAATTATAATTCACCAATATTTTTGTCCATTTATCCGTGGGAAGGCTGCCAAACTAAATTGAAGTTTCCTACCTAGCTTACCCCATAAGGTCATTCAAAAGTAACTTAGAAATTTTAAGTCTCAGTCAGAAGTGATGGTCTGGAGCATGCAATGAGCATGGGCTATCTCCCTAAAATATATAGCTGCAATCATCCATCATCCTATGACAAGATGCAAAACATTTCATCTTGAAAAAGCAATTAACAACCACATAATAGACTCTTACTCTGATGGGTTTCGAGGGCCCACAACAAAGTCCATCCTTACATCAATATCCAATGACTTTGGTACAGGAAAGAAAGTATACAAACTCGTATTCTGCCCTCGGGTCTTGACCAAATGGCATATCCTACATTGTCAAACATGTCTCTCCATAGTTCGTATCAATCAAGACTAATAAAAATTCTCTTTCATCAAGAAAAAATTCTTGTCTTTGCCAAAATGCCCAGTAATTTCCCCACTATGCACTCCAATAAAATAGACGACCTGAGTGAACTCCTAGAAATGTTGCAGTACATTCTGTTGTACCAAGAAGACATCTGATACGTAGAACAACTCATATGGCCTAGCCTAACAGAGAGCCCAAATCTCCTAGAAATCCTTGTCAGTGACATATTTTTTAACATTTCAAATTTAACTATCTTTGAATTCATGGTTGTAATCAGCAAGAGACAATGACCCGAAGCATTAAAGCACAAAATGAAATGAAGACAAAAACTCTACCTAAGAGGCATGCCTATCCTTCAGCTTGATCTGACTATTTAGGAACCTCAAGATTTCATGATCAGTGTAAAAGATGGACTCACTTGCTGGCAGATAATGACTCTAATGATTGAAAATTCTTACAATAACATAAAACTCGTTATCATAAGTAGAGTATTTTCTCTTAGAATCATTTAATGTTTCACTTCAAAAAGCAATAGGGCATCCTCCCTGATTCAGCATAGCTCCAGTCCCCACCTTGGAGGCATCACACTCCACCTCAAAAATCTCATTAAAATCTAGAAGAACTAGGGTCTAGGTCTAGGTAATTTATTTTTTCAAAACTTCAAAGCCAATCTACGTGTCCTCTGACCAAATGAATCTATATGACTTAAGAAACTCTATCAAGGGTAATGCTATAGATTGAATCCTTGATAAATCTCCCATAAAAAGCTGTCAACTCATGAAATTGGAGTACCTTAGTGAACGATTGTGGATTGGGCTGATTAATGATGGCCACGATTTTAGGTGGATCCATCTTAATGCTAGATGTTGATATAACATATTCAAGGAAACAAATCAGTTCAGTCGGAAAATAATACTTCTTCTACTGGTCATACAACTGCTTTGCCCGTAAAACTCCAAAAGCCTACTATAGGGGTTGCAAATGCTAAACAATAGTACAATAGAATGTCATCAAACTATACAACTATAACTTTTTTTATGAAGAATCAAAAAACTTGGTTCATCAGCAATATAAAAGTGCTCTGTGCATTGGACAGAACAAAGGAAAAGACCATCCACCCATATAATTCATCTCGTGTCATTAAATATATCTTCCTCTCATATCTCAATCTCATTCAGATCTGATGACATCGACTACATAAATCAATCTTGAAAAATTTATGGGCTCAATGTAATTGATCAAGCAAATCATCCAACTAAGAAATAGAAAACCTTTGATGATGATTTTATTCACAATCCTGCTCTCAACACATATGTCAAAAATCGCCATTCTTTGGTACAATTAGGGCTTGAACTTTCATAGACTGATACTCTCATAAAGCAAGACTTTAACTATCAAGTTTGTTGCCTACTGCTATTCCTCGTACTCAGTTGTTCACATCAAATAGGCAGACTGATATGGGAGAACGGACACTAGATTGAAATCTATAGCATGCTAGATCTCTCTCAATGATGACAACTCAAAAGATAGATTATCCGTCAGAATATCATGAAACTCTTATAGCATAGTTGATATATGTCTGATATCGACTCCTCGAACTCATTATCTTCTAAGACTATTGGTGTTTCTCTCAATGTCTGCAAAAAGATAACTCGTGGCACTAAAGTCTCAAACTCACTATAAATACTCATACCACAGTCTCTTCACAAGGTAAATATACGAAACACTTCTCATCTTTGGTTAAGGAATATGTGTTATTGTAGCCATCATGACGTGTACAACACTTGTACTCTCACAAATGGCCTAATAAGATGTGAAAAGTATACATAAATACCATGAACATTGATCTCATTCCCAATAAAGAACTCCACGATGCATCTACTATCAACGGTGATCTCATTCCCTTTCTTCAACTAAGACAAGGAATAAGGGTTACATGTGCTTTTGTGTGATAGAGTTCAACTTGTCTTGATTAGACGCCACGTTCTCATAACTACCTTTGTTTTAGATAAACTGTGCAGACGCCACGTTCTCATAACTACCTTGGTTTTAGATAAACTGTGCATTTTCCGTTCTCATAACTACCTTTGTTTTAGATAAACTGTGCATTTTCTTCACAGTGTAACATGTATGAAAGATATTATGGCAGAGCCACTATTACTCTCTCATTGGTTGTTTAAGGATCCATCAAACCACTAGCATGTCAACCTCATCGGTTGGAAGCTAATAATATTTTTTGATCTTCTCATTTTCTCGTGTCACCGGTGTCGCTATCTATTTCTTCCATTACTTTCTGCTTATTAAAAGAAAACACCCATGTTGATACAACAGGTGCTATATGCCCAATATCATGGCACTCAAACAGTTTTTGGCTAGAAAAGACTTAAAGGTGTCGGTGGTCCCCACCTTGTCTCCATCCTTGGTTGATTTCTCCAAGAAAGTGCCACCAACCTGAGTGCTCTAGTGAATGTGCTCTTATTGTGTGGTGGTCACCTAATGATGATGTTGCTTCTCCATCTTCAAAGTTACGGTTTGTAGATTGAGTAGGAGACCAATGTGGCAGTAGCTGCACCATATTATCAATAGCTCACTTCAATCATCAAAGGTACCTCTACAATGTGTTTCTCTGATTCCACCAACTCATATTTCAATTGCATCAATGTGTCTTTTAAATATGTTGCTATTCCTAAAAAGCAATTATGTTTTCCCTCATCATCTAGGTGAGAAAACCCGTGGATGATGCAAGGGCATCAATTTGGAAAAATGGGATGGAAAATTCACACATGTTAAGAATATTGTTTTCATGAACTTTCATATAGTATAAAGGATTAAATTACAGATTTGATTTCTTAAAGAATTTACAATTAGAATTGGCAGCTAATTTGACAATTATTGACAGCACAAAGTTCGGAACTATTGCAGCTCTTTCTTTTGGCCATAATACATGTGTTAGTAATCAAACTCCAACCATAAATAGATACCAACAGTAAACTAGTAGAAGAAATCTACCTCTTCGTATCCCGCTATCATCTAGCACATCATCATGTATCAAACTCGCTGTATGAATCATTTCAATTATTTCAGCTAAACGTCGGTGTTTCGTTGTTAATTCCCTGAATTTGCAAATTTTGCAAAATTAAATCACCTAAATTGGTCTTCTCTCTATCATGGAGAAGTAAATTATAAGAATAGCTTACTTCAACCCTGCAATTTCAGCAGTTGCTCTCGATGCTAAGAAAACTAAAGCTGGTCTTAGCCTCTTTCCTCCAGCACCAAATATCTGTTCTGCTGCAGATGCCAAAACAGGATTATCTGCACCAATAATCTAATCGAGAAAAGATTGTCAGACAAATAATACAGATGGAGAAAATTCCAGCATAAAGAATAACTTCCAAAGCTTCGTTAAAGCTATGAATTACACAAAAGAGAAGACAGGTTATTCAGGTGAACGTAGAGAGGTGCCCAAGATATTAGCCAAAAGATAAGCTAATGCATTACTGAATTGGCTAATGTAAACTAATCCAATCAACAAGTTAAGCAAATATGAACGAACCTGACTCATAGATTAAATTAATTTGGGCTCCAAGGACACAAATGAAACTATAAAATGATTACATGAATAGAAACGTGAAAGAAGGTAACATTGAACGTAATAAGCATCCAGAAGCGTTGTATCACCAGAGGTGCTTCCACGGAAAACATTAACCGGCAACGTAATCCTCCTAATCAAGCCAGCAGCCCTTTATCCAAATGAAGGACATAATATCTCTCTCCTAATCCACTCTTTATCTCCAAAACCAAGAAGGGTAAGGCTGATAAATAAATAGTTAAATACATAGATATATACGTACATACTAGTTTAAACGAATCAAAGTTGTTAGTAATTATATCCCCTATGCCTACAAGTAAATAAATCTACTATGACTATATATAAGAGAAAGCATTAAGCTCCAAAATTGACCATCGATTATTCATATGTGGATATCACATTTCTTCAATTTAGTCCCTCAACTAAACCCTAAGAATCTAAAAAGGGAAGTTATTAGCTTCAAAAATCGTTAACATGGGGTTCTTAAATGTTTGGAGCAAGCATAAGAAAATTGTTGTCTACAATTAGATTGATCAAAATGGCAAGCATAAGAAAATTGTTGTCTACAATTAGATTGAAAAAACTTGAACGGAATGGTTAAGGTAATAATATTTGTTTATGAAGAATAGCAGAAAAGCTAATGAATTTGTAGAAATACAATAATTATAAAGAAGCTAAAAGTTCTAAAGAATAGTAGGCACAACCTTATTTAAATTAAATAAGGAAAACAAATAAAATATGAACTTATAATGAGGAGAAAGGAGTTCTAGAGATTTTAATGGAATATTACATTAAGGCTGATATCTTGATGAGAAAAACAAAAAAAAAAGGATCGAAGTGATATTTTGAGAAACTGAAAATAATTAAAAAAAAAAGAGGAATTGACCTACATTATAAAGGATCCAACAAAATTGTTACCTTGAGGTAATATTGAAAATGAAGTTTGTCCATATGAAATACCAGATTAAATTTTTTCAGTTATGGAAGACATTAAATAAGTTTGGCTAGTAAGATTAAAAGTAATCCAAAAACATCTCTCAAGTAGAACTTCCGATGCAAAATTGATCCCAAGTTAGTCCCTAAGGGACCATTTTGGATCAACTTTATATAATAAATAGATTAAATTGGAAAATTGTGAAACTCGAAATGTAGATTGATCACATAAAAATGGTTAGATGACTATTTTTGAGTTTAATCCATTTTAAATATTTGAAGATGAAAAATAATTTGGGTTCTCCGTGATGACCAAATAAAGAAAAATTTGATTTGAGAAGGAGCATTTTGGTACTTCAGGAAAATTAAAATGTATATAAATAAAAAAAATAAAAAAATTTCTCTGAATTCGGAGAGATTTGTATATTTATTTAGGTGAAAATTAAAACAATATACTCATTCCCTTGTTATAAATAGATAAGTAGTCTAGTAAATAACATATGCAATAAAAGCATTTCTTCTTAATATAGTATTGCCCGCTTCCTAGAACCATCATCCCTCCCCATTGCAACCATATCTCGATCCCCAGCATGGCCCACTAAAACATCCTTTCATACTATTTATATGTACACATGCACATGCATTCGACCCTACTAATTGTGTGATCGCAACCTCCATCATAAGCACAAAAACCCTATTGCATTACAATGTCCAACCCCAAAGGCTTAGCTACACATGATTCCTCGCACCATTGCTACCCCCTCATGATGTCTATCCCTTACAACTACTTGTCCCCTCCCTAGAACATTCCCCTCCCCCGTCTTCATCGTGAACTAAATAAGCTCACTTCTCGTCACTTTTCTCTGAACAGTACAAGGATTCTTAAACCCCTTTAAATGGTTTAAATTTCTCCTTTACTATCATTATCACAATAAGTTTAGATATAACAATTATATCCTGTGATCAAGAACCTTTCACTTCCTTATTTTCTCTCATTACAAACTTCAAGATCTTCTACAGATAAAAATTAAATCATCAAAATTTTCAAATGATAACTATACGACGATGCCATCCTTATATGGTGGTTCAATAATCATGAAATTTTCATCGTCTACATCGCAAGCTTCAAAACTATACCAAGAAATTTTTATTTTCTGAAATATACCAACTTTCAAAAAATTATTCTCTCACATACCTATACTCTTTTAGCAGAAATGTTCGCTCCAACAAAATGAAATGTAAATCCAGAATATTATTATTGAGAGAAAATGAACAAATCACCTATATACCGATAATTCACTACTTGTCTAAATATTGCAAAAACAAAACAAAGAATTTCTTATTGCCAAATTTATCTCAGGCCCATAAGCTTCTTTACAAAGTGTGAATGTTTTTAACATTCCAATCACTTTCTCTCAGGTTGTTTGCATTACTAAAGTTCCCACTACTCACATTCCAACTCCTAATCATCATCCTTCATTGTTATCTCTATAGGTGGTGGAGACAATCCTGGATGTAGTGGATGATGTGGCCGTGGACATGTTTGCAATACTTTTCTCCTTGCTCTTATTGGAGTCGGCAAATCAATCTCTTGAATATTTTTAGGAAATTTTGATGACCCCTACCTCTCAACAAGTTTCCACAACATTACCAAATCTCTTTTTAGTGCTTCCTTCTCCAAAAAAGCTACTTTTTCTAAGGAAGCCTATGATCGACTACTCTAACAATGTCAAATATCTCCCTTAACCTTTTATGATGCCTCTTCCTATGATCTACAACAGTTTTCTCTAACAGAATGCCTTGAGCTTTACATTCAAGTGACTCTTCTCATGTGCCAAGAGATCACCAAATTTTTATTCATGCCTATTATTTGACATTAATGTTGATGGTTCCCCTCTCCTATTTTGGAAAAGTGCATTGCACGTCATTCCAAGCTAGCTTTGATAGTGAATGATACTGGAGTTAACCCAAACGACATAAGCAAACAAATATTATTACTCGAAAAGCCAATAGCCAGTTATAACCAACACACTGAAAAAGAAAATAACAACACGGCACATGAAAATTTTAAAGCGCAACAAATGACAATACTAACTCAAACAAGGGTGGATATTGGGGCAGTGGTAGTAATTGATGAGAGTTTAGACCTCCGGTGAGGTACTAAAGGGAGGTTGGAAGGTCGGATGGTGGGGTGGCAGTAGCGAGGTGAAGGTGGCAGCAAGATGAAGGTGAGAAACTGCTGGAACATCAAGAAGGCAGGCTATCATGGGTGGTGGCAGCAAGGATGAAGGGCTGGACAGCGGCTAGGCAACAAGGGAAGTACTATTCTGGACTACGACAGCAATGGAGGAGAGCGGCGACAGAAAAGGAGGATGTGGTGGACTCCAGGACAGCTAAAGGATGGCTGTCCGTGATGGCGGCAGCGAGAAAAAGTGGAAAGTTGTAGGAAAACAGTGGCATGTGGCTGTTTGGGTGGCTGCAGTAGAGAAGGGGCACCGGGAACGATGTGGGGAGGATGTACAAGGGGAATAGAAAAGATAATCACCACCTCGGAGCGAGATAAAACCGAAGCACAAGTCAAACCAATGAATATAGCCCTCAAAGAGAAAAATAGACGTTGGCAGCTGTCCCGATACAAAGCACCAAAAAAAGCAACCCTAGAATATCAAATATGCAAACACATAATAGGACTTCAAAAAAATGTCATCATCATGCCTGAATCTCGAGACATGATATGGATCTCAGAGAAATTTTTTTAGTGAGAAATATTCAAATTTTGATAAAAAATCATTTAGAAGTCTAATCTCAGCAAACTGACAGTCAAACTGACAGGTTCGATGAGACGGGCTCATATATATCAAAATTGGTTCAATCCGAGTCAAATTAAGCTCAGATCAAACCATTAAACCATTTTTGGAAGCTTTCTGAGCATATTTGGAAGATCAAACAAATATCGAATATGGTAAGCTCATAATCGAATCGAGCATCTCGGTAAGACGAATTCAACGAGCCCAAGATCATTCAATTCTGACATCATTAAGGCGCTCAAATGTCTATCGAACACTATCTGATCAAGAGAACTCTTCGAGTCGGCTGTTCAAAATGTTTCATATTCTTTCATTAATTGCAACTGGAACTCTATAAATAGTGTCTCACCCATCTCATGAAGAGGAAGAAATCTTGAAGCCTGAAGAGAGCTTGAAACTCGGAGAAAGAGCAAAAGTCTAGCATCACTCCTGGAACCATCGATCACCACCAACTACTGTCAACCACCACTCGTCGGACGCCACTGATCACCATCGGTCGTCACCCATTCGTTGCGACAAGATCCTTCACGCACTAGCATTGTAAATTGAAAGATTGTATACCTTTTTTCTGCCTGTTGGACAAAAGATTGTATGTGTTACCTCCAGTTTATCGTGGATTTTCTTCAACTGGGCTAGGCCCCATGATTTTTTCATTTTCTGGGTTTTTCATGTAAATGCTTCTTGCATTTCTCTATTAGTTATTTTTTTCATCTGCGTGTGTGATGGATCTTCGTACAATACTAATACATCAATTTATTACTCTACCGTTGTGAATCTTCGAGCATGCATTAACAATAATAGGATAAATAGAAGTAACCCACGAGAACCGACTAACTGCATAACATGATAAAACCAGGACCGGTTCGGTCTAAGTGAGCAGGCAGGTGCCTGCTTGGCCTCGGAAAATCTCACGTTCCGGCCAGACACGGAAGACGCTCATGTTATATTTTGCACAAAATAAAAAAACTTCAAAATATTCTAAACACACCAAATTTC